ACAATAATCCAGCCTTTATTTGTTCTGAACAAAACATTAAGAGGATTTTAAATGTTAAGAGATCTGTAATATAAAAGATGGAGTTTTAAATCCAAAACAGGTGCAAGTGGTTATTTGTATTATTTACTCAGGTAAAAACTGGCTTAATACACTTCAATTCGTACACAAAATCGTACTGAATGGGCTTCTTGAAATACTTGGAAAATATATATTAATAAGTAATCTCTTGGAAGGTTTAAATGGAAAAAAGCTATTTTTATGCAAATTTATGCAAAATTAGATTAGCTAATCCTTAATTATTATTTCTATTATTAAAAACTGGTAGTCATTTACTACCTGGTATAAACTAAAGAGTAGCTTTTGATTGCAAGGAAGTCATTAAGAAATATCTTTTACAATAATGACATTTGCCATCTCGGTAATATAAGAAATACATAGATTTTATACAGTGGTGGCTCGTGGTAATTTAAAAAGGGTGTTCAATTAGGAAATGTAATTACAGAAATGGTGAATGAGTGCCGCAGACAATTATGACTCAAAAAAGTTGGCTACATTTAAGGCCGATCCTCGCGATTCTGGGCATAGGTAAATTCCAATGTAAAAGTTTATATCAAATAACGCAAAAACTATGGCAGATATTGAGATGATTCTTTTTTTATATGAAAGGTCTAAAAAAGTTCTAGTGCACTATTTGGTTGTAAATTAATAAATTGTTTAAATAATAGTTTTTTTTCAAATATTTTTGGTTAAAATAAACGTAAAAATTTTTTTTTTGAAATAGGGCACTACAAAATTTGACCCACTTTCCGAATCTGTTTTTATTTTTAACATAAAGTGTAACACAAAGCAGCTATTTGATATAAACTTTTAAAAATTTTTCAAATTTCTGCTAAATGCAATTTTCTCTCCGTCAGCACAGGCTGTCCTTGTCGGTAGCTTCTGGATTCTCGCCAGATAGGTAAAACCCTCGGAGGAGGATAAATAAAGTTGAATAACATTACTAGGGCTTATTCCGATTTTTGACAAACCGGTGTGTTTATTGTATTTAAAATAGGAAATTTTATATAAATAAGCAGTAAGTATCTATAATTTTATTAAATTTTTATATGAATAGAAATATTTTCTGTTGATTAGTGACACTTTCCTTCTAAATATTTATACTGTTTTTATAATAATACTATTGTTTCAGTATTTGCTTATATAATAATAATTTATTATATAGAAACAGTGTAGAGTTTTAGTCAATCATCCAGTACATTTTTTTTTGTATTTCAATCAGAATTATTATTTTCTTTTCTTCTTTACATGAGCTCAGAGTAATAACCAAATATTTTGCAGTATTTGAATATGAAATAATTAGATATATTTATTGGTTAGCAACCTACCAATCGTAAAATCAAATACTGCTCAAAGAAACAATGTACAGTCTCGGAACCGGATTGATACTATGAAGACGACAACGGCAAGAAATAAGGACAAGCGAAAAACATCCATCCAAAACCCAGATGAGAATTACTTGGAATATCAGATCACTCAACTCAAGGGACCAAGAAATAACCTAAGTGTTGAAAGAGAAAGAAATAGACATTTGTGCTCTACAGCAAACAAAAAATAAAGTAAAAGGTCAATCAAAATTAGGTGAATACATACTAATCTACAGTGGAGTAGCAAAAGAAAACAGGGCCAAAGAAGGTGTAGCCTTACTAATACACCAAAGGTATCAAAATTACATCAAAGAGTGTCAATACATATAAGAAAGAATAGTAACATCAAAGATAAGAATGGAGAAGGAAAACCTGAACATTATCGAAGTATACGGCCCAGAAAATAATAAGCCTCAAACAACAAGGGAAGTGTTTTACGACCAATTACAAGTAGTAATGGGACTTGTATTTTTTGTTAAAAAATTTGCACAAACATTGTACCTTTACAGGACCCTCTACGAATTTTTAAAAATGTAGTTCAAATGATGACTAGGAAGAACCTACAAATCCATACCGAACAAGCAATTGCAAACTAATAAAATTTTCTATATCTCCGGGTCTAGTCAATGGATTTTGATCATTATTTTTTTAATTTGTATGTAATTTTTACGTACATTAGAAATTAGTAATTTGTTTATATATTAATTAATTAATAAATAGTCTAGTTTGTTTAAACAATTCGTGCAAAAACAATTTTCTTCCAAAAATCTATTTTCTTAATACTAGTATCAATAATCATAGAAACAATCGCGTTTTTTGCATTAAATTGTCAATAATTAAAAAACAGCTCCAAATTCAAGGCAAGAAACAAGTAGGTTTTCTTCCTATAGGTCTACAATAACTAAAAAAGTTGTCAGCGACCTGGATTATTGAGTGTCACGAACATGGTCTATTTTTTGCTTATTTACCTGGAGTATATATTTGATTAATATCTGTGTAATTTCTTTGTCGTTTCCTCGCTGGTTTTGCATATTGCTATGATAGCAATATCTTCGGTAAATGTTGCAATTGTATATTTTCTAGGACAATAATATAACACGTATACAAAAGGTAAAGACACTTCTTTGTGGCAGCCCTGCTGTAATATCTTTCAATTCCGTGTATGTTTCTTCCTGTTTAATTCTGAAATATCTTTCCAAGATGCAGGAGTCAATTATTTGTGAGTATCGTTTTGGTAAATGCAGTCTTAGTTTATAGTTATGGCGTCTTTGCCATACTTTATCATATACCTGAGTCACATCCTAAATTATTGATATAAGGTTGAATGCTCGAATAAATGAACTTTGAAAAATGAAGGCAAATTTCGAGCACAAATTTAATAATCAAATCTTGCCCAAGTACTTTCGCTTTCTACAGCATCATCAGGGGCATCTGCGCTTGCTGGATAGCCCAAATTTGACGAAGTAAGTCTAAAATGTTAATCACAAAAAACTTTTATCATCCATTAACTTCGAGTTTTTTATCGAAGTTTATTAATTTTCTTCATTTAAAAAAACTTTTCTTGGCTTATTTCAGATGCCCCTGATGATGCTGTAGAAAGCGAAAGTACTTGGCAAGATTTGATTATTAAATTTGTGCTCGATATTTGCCTTAATTTTTCAACGTACATCCTAAAATGTCCATCACATTATCCTCCATGATCTATATTTCACATCCATATAAATAGTTATACAGTATTTTTTATCATCATCATCATCATCATCATCATCAATGGCGCTACAACTCTTCGTAAACCTTTGCCGCGGTTACTATTGCCTTCCATGTTTGTCGGTCCTGTGCCAGTAATTCCCATTGTCGCACTCCCATTTTCTCTAGATCTAGGAGTATATTTACATATAACAAATTAAATCCTTAGTTGTAAATTTTTGAAATAAGTACTCAGTATACATCTAAGTTTCATAAATGCTCATAAATCTCATAAATCTAAACTTTTGTAATCCGTTCTTTGTTGACAATTAGTTGCATAGGGCCGACGTTTACTAACCACAAGCACACAAGTAAATTATCTTATTTCTTTCATTTGACAATAATAATTGTCTGTTAGATTAGCATTGTAAGAAGTAAATTAGTCTCTTACTGAATGATAATAAACAACACATCAAACTTATTCTGAAACTATTTCTTGTGTCATGTTATACTTTATTAGATTTTGGTGTAATAAACCACAACCTATCAAATTCAATATCAAAAATCAAAATTGGAAATGATAGCGTGACTAAATTATTCCTTCCTTCAAGAAATTTTAAAAAGAACTGATTCCTATTACTATCCAGTGCAAGGACAGTTATTTTGTTATTTATATCGAATAGAGAATACTGTTAGTTTGCGGTATGGACCCCAAAAAATATTTTATCCGAAAAGATTAATAAATATATGGAACAAAAAATATGCTACAAAAATTTCAAGATTTTTATTATAATTTTTATTTGAAACACCTTCTGAAGAAACATTAGACATAATTCTATATTTATATACATAGTTTCATTTTATCAATTTTAATGATCGTGATACTAATTAGATACGATTTTTATTATAATTTTTATTTGAAACACCTTCTGAAGAAACATTAGACATAATTCTATATTTATATCGTTTCATTTTATCAATTTTAATAATCGTGATACTAATAAAATTTTTATAATATATAATAATAATCTTTTTTTATAATTTTTATTTTCCGTAAACTTTAATCTACGTTAAAATTCAGACAGCCAAGTTTTCCTTAAAAAAATAACAAATAAATTATGTATTTACATTTGTTACATTGTAAATTTATGAATAGATTATATTACTTTGATCTGTTATTATATTTACTCAAAACACCACTAAAGAGATTTATGGTTTTATTGTAAGCCAAAACCTGTCACTGCAGGGGTTGTCCCGGTGTATAATCGGCTCGAGTAAAACAGTTTTGACCTAGGCTTGAGAGAGATATCTAAACGAATTTTAGAATATTACTTCATGAACAGATTTTGTTTTCGTAAAAAAAGAAATTTTTGAAATAGAGATAGCGAACTGAAATTTACCGTTAGGATTTTCGAGAATGCTGTTCAGGGAAGCTATTGATGATTTAAGAGAAGGTATAAAAATCAATGGTGAAATCATAAACAATTTAAGATATGCGGACGATACGGTTTTGATTGCTAATTCAACTAATTTTACAAGGCAAAAGATCTCAAGGGCGCAGTATGGGACATCGTGGTTGAAGAACATCAGACAGTGGGCAGGAATGGCTACCATACATCTATTTAGAGCAGCTGTCAATAAAGTTGTATGGACCAGCGTGATTGCCAACATCCGCAGGGGATAGGCACCAAAAGAAGAAGAACCCTTTAACGGGCTGTCAAGTATTAAGAAATGCATTATAAATAATGATAAATAAAAAGTGAATACTAATTTAATATTTGTAAAACTAAACGATTGGAAGTAAATAGTTGTTTATAAATATTGTTTCAATAAATTCATTTGTAGCATGTTATCTCTTTAGTATTACTACAGTAATGTTGCATTACTAACCTGTTTGTTCCAAGACATGCTCCAAGCAAAAATTGCCAGCTCCCAAATGAAACTTGTTATCAACAAACAAGCTGCCGTTGTTAAAAATCTTGGATTTGTGTAGCTCGCCAACCACATGCATTTTGTTTTCAGCGCACGTAGGGAAACCTGCACCCAATGTTTTGTTCTGACCCACATCAATCTTATAACTATTATCCTTAAAATGTATACAAGTCCCGTTTATTTGTGAAAAAATCGCATTGTCCCCGCAGCATTTCTTAACAATAACCAAATTTTCCGGAATATTTAAGCACACTAACGCAGAGCTGTAGTCAAAACAAAACTCATTTGGATGGAAAAGACGGTTGAACTCAACGCTGAATACCGATCCGTTCAAAAACGGAAAGTTGTTCTTGCCTTGGAAAAGGAGCTGTTGAGGTTTTGCACAGTGTGGCATTATACCGTCTTTTACCTTCCAATTCAAAGGTAATTCACTGTGTATCTCGAATTTGGCTTTTCGAGCATTGTATATTTCTAAATTCCACGAACTAGAAGAGTTTTGAACACAAACTTTGTCTCCTATCTTAAGGTACTCCTCGAATTTGCAACATTTTGTAATATTCACTTGTTTCGGAGTTTTTAACGCAGAAATCACAACGCACAATGACACTACACTCAAAAGCCCTGTCAAATATGACATTTTGTCGAGTTTAATGAATTAAATAATAAAATAAATCACATTTTCTTAACCACCGCGATATGTGCGAGAGCGCGTGGTAACTGATTTCTGAATCTATTCAACGTTACTATTCCTTCGAGACACGATAGTCAACTGTTTTCTTTTCGTACGCGCCAGTTCGCTGTTAACAGTTGTAGACCGGTCTTTGTGTTTATCCCCACTTAAGTTCTTACATTCTTACCTTCGCGTTATAATACATTGTCAATTCATGTGCTACGATTTACCTGTGGAAGATTCTTTCGAACTACTTCATAGCAAATAAAAACTTTATCAAACACTCGCGTCAAAATTGATACAACGGGGATATTTTATATTTTTAATATCTATCTGATTTTAGAAAATTACATCGTCAATATCATAAAATAAAGGATAATTACATAAAATACACAATCAATTGCAAAATTTAAATAAATTAAATCAGTGAAATGTAAAAAATACCGTAAAACGGGTTACTATAGGCCACTTTTGAAATTCAAACACCTTTCAAATCTAGACCAATCACTTTAGGGATTTAAAACTTGGTTAAAACGGGGTCTGTATCTAAACTTATTGTTTAATACCAAAGAAAAAGAGTTAAATAAATTTTTTACCTGTCAAAAAAATTTAAAAGGCCACGGTGGAATAGGCATGGGCCTAAGTTTCCCCTTAGAACGGGGTATGAAAAACCAGGCATGATAGATAAATGTGTGGCGTAAGTTAAACACTCCTGGGGTAACTAAATCCGTACACAGGGCTAAAATAAACAATACTTATGTTTAAAAAAATGAAATTTAAATTGGAAAAAACTTTATTTACTAACATTTTTATATGTTTTAAGGTTTTTGAAGATTAAATAATCAATTTAACTCATACAAAAAAGTGTAGTGCCCACGCTTTACATTTGTAGGGTGAACAAATTTAACAATTTGTGATATATTTACATCCATTTCATCAGCATTGTAAGGAAATACAAAAACAGTCCCAGCAGTTTTCGTACTTTTTCTTAAGAAACTAACTGACACTTCATTTGTTTCTGGTGATGTATTTAACACTTTTGCATAAAACTGCTTTACCAGCTTCTTTTTTGGTCCCTCATCAAATAGCAGTTCAACAATTACAAATATAGCTGATTCGCCAGTAATCTCCTCCCATTTCACTGTGGTCCTCGTGGCTTTCTTATAGACGTTCTTAGGTTCGGGTTCCTCAAAATTGTCATCAGTGAAGTCACTTAAAACAAGTTCAGCATCTGAATCTTGCAGTGAGAATACTTCATCATTGTCACTAGAATCAGAACTGTCCTTTCTGGCTCTTTTTGAAACACGGGTTTTCTCTTAAGCTTGCTTTGAAGTACTTGGCTGTTGCTCTGCAGGGTTATCAATAGAGTCCTTTCATATCATCCGGCTGTACACCTACACCAGGTGGTACATTTAATTTTTTTTCTTTCTTTGGCTGATTGTTGGTAGTATCTTCAACTCTGTTTTTTGCAAGGAAGGATTGTAAAGTTGCAGCCCAAGTGTTTCCATAGTCATTTAGGGTGTCTCTTTCGTTCTCCTTTAGATCTACTAGGAAGCCTCTTAAGTACTTGCACCTGTCAAGAGGTGAAATTCCTGAACCTTTAAAACCACTTATCAAGTTTTTTGCTATGTTCTCTTCACCCATGTCATCAATATACTTCTTCAATAGTCTTGGGAATGTATCCTTAGGTATTGTACCACGATTCTTCTCTTTTCCAGTCACTTAATGTTTGGCGCCACTTTATTTTCAGTGGCCTAAAAAAAGATACATCAAGAGGCTGAGTAAAATGGGTACTGTTCGCTGGCAGAAGCACAAACTTGATGTTCTTCATCTTGCATGCATTAATAATATCTAGTGAGATGTGGCTTGCTAGGTTGTCCCCTATTATTACCTTAACAAGCATCTTTGTCAAACTTCTTGAAGTATGGAATAACTATTTTTCTGAACCAGTCTTCAAAAATTTCTAGCGTGAACCATCCACTCTTTGACCTATTATAAACTGCTCCCTTAGGACCATTCTCAGTCCATGAGTCGTAAAGATTTAGTGCCTTGTACGTTATGTATGGTGGAAGTAATTTTCCATCTGCACTCCCTGAAAACATGACAGATGTACTTTGCCTTGGAAGAATCAACGATTCGCTCAGGATGACGTGTACCTCTTCTTACCATAACTTTCTTTCTACCCGGATCATCAGTTATATTCGTCTCGTCATAGTTAACTATCATACTTGGTTCAACTCCTTCAAGTGATGTTGTGAGTTCGTCAAAATAATTATTGAGAATTGTCTCATTGACAGCAGCTCTACTTCTTTTTACATTTTGACAAAGCCTATTAGAAAGTTCTTTGTCATGTCTTTTCATAAATGAATCCACAAAGTCAATACCAGGCATATTGTGTTTAAGCCTTTTTTCTGTTCGGTCACGGCGATCTAGAAATCCTTTCACAATCAGTCGAATATCAAAGGTTGTTAGCGGGAATCCCCATTTTCCAGCCAATGTTACACATTTCTACCAGCTGGTTTTCTTCAACAGGACTTAAAATACAAGGTCTTCCTACCTTATTGTGTTTCCCTGCTGCTGTACTGCTGCTGGTAAGAGCACATCGTGAAATTCCATACTGTTCAGCAACTTTCCTCAAAGAAAGTCCATCATCCTTCACTGCTTTTACCGCTGAAGCGAGCTTTTCATTAGAATAGTCCTTATACTTTCGAGCCCCAAGGGGCTGGTGATAAGTTCGTGGCATAGGTATTGTGGTCTGAAACAAAGAAATTGCTGTAACTTTATGATTTTTACTTTCATGTAGTATGTTTTTCATTACGGGGTAACAAAAGCCGTAGTCAACATAGCTGTAAAAGAACAACAAACAAAAAACAACTAACCTTAAATATGGAGAATGAATTAAAGCATGGTCTACAATGATAACTAAGGTTATATTTTAAGATAGTTATTAAGCTTGAAAGAAAACGGACTGGGCTGGACGGAAAAAGTTTAAACAGCTATGAAATTTCAATACAAATTACCTCTAAATAATAATAAATTGCTAGGCTTATCTTTTAATGTGAATAAATGTTAGATTCCAGCAGCTTAAAGTTTATACGATTGTCAACTCACATACACATAAAACATCTACAATTGCTGCAAACAGTGTTGTTAACATGGCGCTCGAAATTTTACCATGCAAAATGGCTTTTGTTACCCTGTAGCTTAAGTAACCCCGTTTTAACGGTAAAATTCCCAAAAATTTTACTTTTGGAAAATTAAAATATAAATTTTATCTTTTTAACAGCATGAAACTTTTAATTATTTTCTTGTAGTATAGGTAAGCAGAAGATATTTATGTAACAATTAGGTTTTATATATACACATTTATTGAGTAATTACTAATTTTACTTATTGGAATGTTATCCTTTTAGAAGTCAAGTAAAGAATCAACGCTGTTTTGTTACTACGAACTTATTTATTTACATTTAAATGCTGTTATACAGTTTATTCATCGTCATTAAATCACTATAATCGTTCACAATTTGTCGATATCTCACTACAAGTTTAACCCTAATTAGAGAACTGAAATACAGAGAGGATAGGTAATACCATATAATAGTAAAAACCAACCTGAAACTGACGGATTAAGATTTTTCGACTAACACACCTTCTATCTGAAGAAATACAATACAGCAGTCAACCTTAGAATCCGATAACGAAGGTATTTTGGTTACAGATGACCGACCAGTGTTGTAGAGAACACTGATTGAAACATTTATTTGAACTAAAGAAATATATTTTTTAAATTGTACTTATGTAAATTTTTATTTTTGGTTTAATAAAACTTCTTGATTTTATTCAAAAATAAACAGTTTCTTTCCATTCGTAAAAGATACATTTATTTAACTAAGGGAAAGGCACCAAATGTCGTCTGGTAAAATTTTCAATGTGTTTTAAATGTATCCATTATTTCCGAATCCGGAGAAAACTAATAAATATTTTTGAAAAATTTAAACGCAGAATGAAAGACTGAGGGCAGAAAGTCCCTGAAAACTTCTGCAATGTTTATTTTAATATGTTATGTAACAGGTTGAAAATAAAAGAGAAAATATAGTATAATTTTTAATTGAAAATATTGCATGCAAAACTAACTTTTTGTTTATTTCTAATAAATATTTCATTCTGCCTTTAAATTTTTCAAAAATGCTTTTTAGTTTTATCAGGATTTGAAAAAAAAAAAAATGGATACATTTAAAACACATTGAACATTTTGACAGGCGACATTTTGCTCCTTTCCCCTTTAATACCTTACGATTACAACTACTATTACTTACCTTATATAATTAGGATTAGAAAACTATTCAAATTAAAAAAAAAATAGGATCAATTTCTTCTATTATATGTCTTACTGCATTTTTCCAGTTTTGTTCTGTAATATGTTGTAAAGACTCGTATAACAATTCACGTACAGCTTGTAATTTTATATGACGCATTTTTTCTAGCCACATAACTTTTCATTTTGTACCCAAATGAGTTCAATTGGATTTATTTCGCAGTGGTAGGTGGAAGTCTAAGGACTGTGATGTTTCGCCTTTCCGCCATTTTGTCAACTACGTATTTCTTGAACTAAGATTTGTGTTGCCTTGCAATTTCTAAAAGTTCCGCTTTTACCATTCCATCTTCGTAAAGGCACATACTTATTCCGCAGCCAGTCAAGAATATCCTGTTTCTTCCACGTAGTCGTTGGAAGTCTTTCTACTAGTCGTGAATGATAAGGTGCATTATCTAATACTATAATTGAATTTGGTGGTATGTGTTCAATCATCTGCTCAAAATACTCTTCGAAAACATCAGCTGTCATCTCCTCGTGATAGTCTTTTGTGCTTTTGGACCGAAATTCCAACAAAACACGATTAACAAATCCTTTTTCACTGTCAATGTGAGAAATTATTAATCTACTACCTTTACCAGAAGGTAGGGAGATA